GGCGGAACTGCATGCTGACGCAAGCGCGCGATTAGTGGGTGCGCCCCTATTCCTAAAGTAAAAGGCGCACCCACCGCGCGCACACTGTCTACACACCCTAAACCCTAAACCCTAAACCCTAAACCTAAGGGGCCTTGCTCAAAAAGATCAAAGGCAGCGGCCGTGGAGCAGATCGCGGCCTGGCAGGCTGCCGGCCTGCGATCCGTCCACATCGTCGGACAGGGCCTCGGCTGCTCGAAGCTCTCACTTCCATCTGTGTCCCAAACTTTAGGGTTTATTGGGGTTTGAGGCCCCCTCATCCCTAAACCCCTAACCCCAAACTCTCAACCCCAAACCCCAAACCCTAAACCCTGAGTCCGAAGCCGCCCTCCGAGGCCGCCGAGGGTTTGTGCAAGCGGCCTTCACCAACGCCGAGCTGCGAGAGCTGCTGACATGCAGCGAGGAGGCGCGAGAACACGATACAGTTGCATCAGGCGTGAGTGCGTTAGTAGGAGTATTCTTCTTCTGTTCTTCCCTAAGGCAATAGGCAATGTTCCGGCGTCAAGCAAAACTGTAGGGGCGCTGAGCACATATTGGATGGGGCTGAACCCTGCACCTTGGGTCAATCCCTCTTTGCAGTGATCAACGTGTGAGACGGAACCACTGCAAAAATGAACCTTAATGTCTGCACTAGTCTGTTTGAGCACCTGTTACTGCAAGAGGGGCGGGGTTTTATCGAACCTAGGCCGTATTTACCCTTAAGCTTCCAAGTCCGACAAAAAGCTGTCGGATTCCAGGATACACAGTGTCAGGAGAAAATGCAGCTTACAATTAAAACATGAGGTACCCCAGTAATTGAGGTGTAAGTAAGTATTCAATGTCTAAGGCGGCCAAATCTTTAGAAGTCTTGTCATGATCAGTGATGACCTTGGGTTAAATAGTGCGGCTCTACAACCCCACCCAGCTTCCTTTGATGCTTTAGCCGGGACCTGTGCCCACGGGAGATACGAGAAAGCTGTGTTGTTTCTGCAGCAGGATCCTTGTCCTTGTCCATGCATCGAAGCCGGCTCTGGTTCCAGGTTGCTTTGAACAGTTAGAGTCGTTGCATCTCGACAACGCAAGTCTGCAGGTGGGGGGTTTATGCTGGCAGATACAACGACAAGCATGCACTTGGCTGGTACATCGTTGATGTTCAGCACAGCATCGCGCAGATGCTAGGCTATGAAACAACGTAGTGTTGGCACATCAAGGTGCATGGTTCAAGCTGCCATGTTGGCCACCGATGCAGCCACTCTGCTGCCAAAAGCACAGGCTTTGATGACCAAAATGCAGGCAAGCAACATGGAGCTGAAGAACGAGATAAAGCGCTTCAAGACGCTGAACCTGGTGTTACAGCAGGCAATCGACAGCCAGCTGCAAAGTCTCCCGGAGCTCCAGTTCGCCGATTCCACTGCAGCCCCGGCAACGCGTCTGGCTCAAGCTTGCGGCGCTCTGAAGACCAGAGCCCAAGAGCTTGAGCATCAGATTGACGAGAAGCGTCAGCGAAAGCTGCGGATGCAGCGGGAGCTGGAGGAGAAAAAGGCCAAGCTGAAATCGGTTTCCTTGTCCACCACGCCTGCCAAGTTGATCGGCAGCCCACTGAAGCTTTCGCCTTCGTCTGGAACGGGCAGTGGCATCAGCAACATCAGTCGCAAAGAAGCAGCGCTGCTTCTGCAACAAGACCTCTTCCGGAAGAGATTTCTACTGAGACGCGACTACAAAGGACCCAGTCCTTGATTCGTTTTCCAGGCGGCGCAGAATGTCAGACTTGCCATTGGCTTCTTGAAAACACTGCATTTTGCATGTGCTCGTCGACAAAACGACAGAGTGGCAACCATGCCACTGACAGCTGCAGCTGCAGAACAAAAAGAGGTAGCCCTCAAACACCCGCTAACAGACCCCAAACCCTGAACCCAATATAAGGCACCTATAAAATCCGTAGAGAACCCTTGTAAAGGCCCTCGACAACCCTTCAAAAGCCCCCCCTCCACGCCCACGGCCGTGAGGTTTTGCCCATCATCGACCCCGAGGAGCTCCAGCGCCTCGGCTCATGGGCGCGAGTTCTGCAAATGAAGCGCCAGAAGGGGGTTTTGTTCTTTTGTTTTTATTACTATAATAATATTCAGAATTATTATTTTATTATTATTATTATTATTGTTATTATGATGAGGATTATCATATATATATATATATATATCTATATATATTGTTGTTTTTGGAGGGGGGAAGGAGATTTCCTTTGTAGCAGGTTGGGGTTTCGGGGTGTAGGTTTTGGGAAGAGCTATGCTTAGCACTGATAGTCTAACTGTGACATGGATCCCTCGGCTGTTGCTTTCCGGCCTAAACTGTCTGAACGTAGTTTCAGCACTCAAGTGAACTGACAGTGTTGCATGCTTTACCTGAAACCTACGATGCAGGGACCTAGAGGCAGTCTCTACAATTGAGCGAGATCCCGAAAAGAGACTAAGTCTAAGTTTCACATGGGGGTTTTCGCCCTGATTTTTCTTCAGGGAGGTTGAGCGTATCACTACTCCAGCGGAGGTGGGCACTCCCATCCCTGTCCAAATTCGCCGAAGACAAGACATCCGAGGGCTGCATACCCTAAGCTTCCGAAACGGGAACGCAGCGGGGAATTGCAACCCCAAGCCCCAAACCCTAAACCCTAAACCCTCTGAAGCCTAATAGCTTTCTTAACCTCTCCACGACCAGTGCCGAAAGTATCCGAGCTGCCGAGGATGTGCCGCAATCCGGCTTCCGAGGAGGAGCGCGGAAGTCAGTGCTAATATGGATTTATGGGTTTAGGGTTTAGGGTTTAGGGGACACCGGGCTGGAGAGAAGAAGGGCGCAGTATTTGGCAGTATCGGTAGTACTTGTAGCAGCGGTGGCGAGAGCGGCAGCCGCAGCGGCAGCGGCAGCCGCAGCACAGATGTATGTAGCAGGAGCAGGAGCAGGAGCAGGAGCAGTTGTAATTGTAGCAGAAGCAACAGTAGCAGCAGCAGTAGCGGTCGGTATTTTGGAGCCCCGAAATCTCAAACAGGCCGTCACTCCTCTCTACAATTTCGAAAGGTCTGTTTAGGTTGATCCTATTGTGACAGTTATGGCGATAGCAACTAGACTTGTGTTCGAAGAAACAGCGTGACACGTCGTATCTTCGTTTATACTTTTTGGAGGCACGTGAATCTATATCGCGCCCATAGCAATGGCTCTGGCACTCAGCTTTTTCTCGAGAGGTCGAAAGTCACAGATCCAAGACGGTATAACAAGAGTGCCAGAGTGATAGAGCATTGTTGGCCTATCAGATTCGCGGACATGCTTTGTCCTGCAAGGACAGATTCAACGAGCACTTCCAATAAATTCACCATTGCGAACTCGTTCACGCTGTTTTGTATGTATAGCCACGTGTTCAGCATTGTCTTTAAAGTTGGTGTTCGTGCTGCGAACACGTTTGCTGCATCATTTCGAAGTTGGGGTTTGCGCTGTTTTGTGCCTACGAAAACGTGTGCTGCAATGTCTTTCCAGTTGGTAGCAGCAATAGCAGTCGTGACAGTAGTGGTTCTAGTGGCTGCAGTGGTAATTGTACTGGCATTGATGATTTCGAAGATGACAGTGATGGTGAGTGATGGTGATGACTTGGTGGTGGCCGCAGCACCGGCGGCCGCAGTGGTGGATGTGGCGATGGCGGTGAGGAACGATGGTGGTGGTGGTGGTGGTGGTGGTCGTGGTGTTGCTTTGTTAATATGATTATTGTCTGACCATTCTTATTCTTCATTTTACTCCTTGTTTGCTTTGTGTTCCTGCTGTTACTGTTGCTATCGTTGTCTTGTTTGTTGTTCTCGTCGTTGTCGTTGTCGTTGTCGTCGTCGCCCTAAACCCTAAACCCTAAACCGCTGACTTGCTTGATGCTTTCAAGCCGTGACAGGAGCTCTCCAAGAGCAGAATGAAGAAGCGATCTCTGGAGCTCTGGGTCAGGGGGGGAGCTCACCGGGAGAGTTTTCGAGAGACCTCCGTGGAAAGGATCGGTTACAGCTGTCCGCATGGCTTAGGGCGTAGGAGTTTGGGGTACTGGAGGAGATCTTGGATAAGATGGCCGCCAACTTTGAGCATCGACTGGAGCCTGGATCCGCTCACTTTCGAGAGTTTGGCGTCTGAGTGAGACAAGAGCATGAGTAGCTGTCTGAGGCTTGACCACTAGCAAGCGTATACTGCAGATCCACTTCCTTCGATCACCAGTCGAGGCTCGGTTTTCAGAGAGCCCTGCGGTGCTGACGTGACGCTTCCGCAGCGATGTGCAGGTCTTGTCAGAGTCCGGTGCGCTCAGAGCCCTCCGGTTGGGCCGCACTGCGCTGCAAGGAGAGCCGAGTTGATCACGAAACCCCACACCGATCTGGATTCTTGTGTTGAGTCCCATTGCCATTCCGGCACTGCCTAGGTAGGTTTGTGAGGCATAGCCGGGAGGAGGAACGACCCTGAGAGCATGAATAGATGTGGAAGGGTCTTAAAAGGGTCTCTGTCTAGGACCGCTTGCCATAAGACTCAAATGATTTATTCACTATTGACGGCCCTGGGCTCTCTAAGCTGATCGGAAGTCTTGAGTGGGAGCTGGTCGAAGTTCGAAGTCCAGTGTTTCCCGTCCCCGGTGCTTTGCAAGGAGAGCCTGGAAAGCAGGTGGGGGCGGATCTGTCTCCAGCTTTTTGCTGCCAGTGCCGGGCAGCTGCAGGTGGCGGTGCCAAGCGACCTGCCAGCCCTGGATCTGGTGGGTCTTGCTGTGAGCTTTTCCGACTGTCAAGCTTCGTCCGTTCAGAGGAATGTGGCCTGGTCGTTCGGAGTGTGGGCTTCGACATCCTGCCTTTCCAGGCGGGGCATGCTTCCTCAAAGCTGGGAGTTGCGGTCCAGATGGCGAAGTGGCTTTGCAGGGGCTCCCACTGAGCGACCGCAACAGAGTTCCGCACGTCAACGGCTGCGTCCGCTCTTCGGGTCGTTCCAGGTCTCCCAAGCAAAGAGCCACAGACCGCCAAGGTCGAGCCGCCTTCAGACAACCTGGGCGGACTCTATGTCTCGGGATGGGTCAAGCGTGGACCCCAAGGTTCGCTGTGGAGACCTCTTTCCTGGGTCGGTATATGTCGGTATCCCGGTAGACAGCAGGGCGTCTTTCCAGAAGGGCGGGCTTCTGACACTGTGAAGTCTGCCACTCCGCATCATTCTGCTCCCATTCCGCCGGCCAGGTATCATTGCATCAAACATCGGTGATGCCCAGGACCTTTCCCTGCTGGCAGACCTTGGCTCCACGAATCGAAGCCACTCCGACACATTAAACAACACATGCGAGGAGACAGCGACGAAGGTAGTCATGGACACCCAGGGCAAGCCAGCGAAGGCAAGGCATTCTTACAGGTAGCTGATAATGGATTTTCCAGCTCCTGCAAGTGACATCAGAATCAATATGCGTGGGTGACCGCAAAGGCCCATCTGCCATTGTTTGAAGATGTTGAGCCAGGAGGGCTTCTTGAGTGCAGCAGCCTGGAGAGGCCTGGTCGACGGATCCCGTGGTGGGAGCCCTGACAGAGTCAGGCGCGCGCGCGCGCGCGCGCGCGCGTTCTTTTTTTGCGAGACGATGGCGAGGCAGCCCTTGCCTCCCTGACAGGCAGCCGCGTCGTAGAGTTCCGGGACTGGCAGACTCTCGAGGCCGAGGACAGCCTCCACATCGTCACGCGGCTTTTGCTGTCCAGGGTTTCTGAGATCGGTGGCTGCGTAACTGTGAACAGCAAAGCTATCCATTACCAGGAGCTGCGACGTGGACAGGAGACTGGAAAGGCAGCTGCCAAATTCACCAGTGTGCCTGACATGCAGCAGCCTAAGACACTCTCGAACGTCTTCTCTGAACCTCCATGTCTGTCCGCATGGCCGCACGTCTTTCAAAGTTGTTTACGCCAAGATTGCCGAGGCTACAATTCCTCGCGCGGGCGTAGCTCGGTTAATAGCCGAAGGCGGAGATGGAGTGACGCCGGAGACTGCGGATCCAGACCAGAGCTTCGTGCGCATCGGTTGGCAGAAAAAAGCTGTTCAAGCTGCCTCAGGGTGCAGCTATGCTCCGCCTTGGGGTGCGAGCTTCCTTCGGCTTGCAGGCCAGCTACATTGCCGCGGTGCCACCAGCAGATGTGGAAATGACCGACGCAGATAAAGGTGCAGCCAAGGACCGGCAGTCTGCCCCTGCTCCCCAGTCCTACTGCGTCCTACCTACTACTTGTCTTGCGGCAGGAAGTGGAAATCAAATTCCCCCAGCTCAGCAAGCCTTATGCCCCTGAGCTGGAAGCCCTGGCCTCAGCAACTTAGAAAAAGAAGAGTCAGAGCCATTACGAAGCTCAGGCTTTTGCCGTCCTCATACTGGTAGTGAAGCTTTCAGACAAGCGGGACGACAAGCACAAGGCACACTGCGGGGCTCAAGCCTAGGCTTCCAGGGTAGTGGCCCATGTGACAAGCACCGCAGGCGATGGAAGTCGCGAGTGCCATGGTGCTCTGGTTGAAAACGCCCGAACCCTGACTTCTCTGTAGTGGCAAAAAGCCCACACGCCTCTGCGAGTATATCAGCTTCATACGCAAGGCTCAACCGCCGCACTCTGGATCTCTTCAATGCGAGGGCGTGCTCTGAAGCTGTTTTCGTCGGAGGTCATTGCAGCACAGCGGAGAGCCGGGCCCTGGCAATCGCGGCAGGTACTTCTATCTGTCGCTTGCGTACGAGAGATGTGGACGGTTGTCTGAGTCACGACCTTAGAGCTTGCATCATAGGCATCTGTCTGGAAATAGTGGCAGAGGTGTGTGTCTGTCTGTCTCTGTGTGTGTGGTCTCACTGAGGATCCGCCCAGAGCTGCTAGCTGCCTATCGGAGTGTGGGGCCTTTAACCTGGCAGGGAATGCTGCAGAAAGCAGGTGATCCACCGGAGACCTGTGCAGGCGTGCCTCCGGCATGACCAGATGGGCCAGGCTTCGATTTGGTTGCAGTTGCTGTGAGAGCCTCCGGACTTTATCCTGTTGCTTCCAGGCAACGCTGCTGAATCTGCTGTTGCGGAACTACCTGGCATACAATCTCTATGACCAGGCTCCGTGCCGCAGCCAAGAGTCGAAATTTGCAACAAACACCAGACGTGCAACCCTTCCCCAGCCGTGTCGTGGCTTGCTCTGTGCTCGGCCGCAAGATCGTGCGATGGCAGGCATTAAAGTTGGTCTCAAAAACCAGCTTTCCGGAGAGCCGCCCCAACATGCAGCCGGGATCTCAAGCGGCATCTCATATGAGGATGGCCTGCCTTTTGAGTCACTTGAGTTATCCCTAAGGTATGCACGATACTTGTTCTATATCGGGCAGATCAAAGCCGTTCAGCTCGAGCCCACGCCTAAGCAAGGGCCGCCCTTTGGTCCTTTTGGTTTCAGATCGCCCGTTTTCTCGTCTCCAGAGAGCGTAGAGGAAGGGTCCGAGCAGAGGTACTCGGACTCGCACTCCAAGCTGATGCAAGCAATTCGAAAAGCGCCGCAGACCCCCGATGTGGCTTTGGGGTTCAAGCCGAGGACTCATCGACTTCCGTCATATCCTGCCATGATGTGATGTCTAAAGTCTATCGTCTATAGACTGTCCCTGTGACACCTCAAGGCTGGCAGCCAGCAAGTTGGCCATAGTCGCAGGAGCCTGAGTTGCTCACTCCTACTCGTGCTACGATCCGGAAGCCCGCGCCTGCCTTGGGTGAGAAATAGAGGTGGAGCTTCTCATGGGTGGAGTTCCCGAGCGATCGTTCTTCACCCAGAAGGACTCCGAAATCATACATCGTGATCGGCGGAAGCTTCGTGACACCAAGCTTCCGCTGGGAGGAATTGAAGGAGCACCTCCGACCATACTATGTCCGGGGCTCGGGTTGGAAGCCTCCGGACGTGACTTTCACAGCGCCAAGGCTATCACGCAAGCCGTCCGTTCCGGCGACTTGCATGCGCCCCTTGGCTCGATGTCTCGTCAAGCCTCCCTCTGCTTGTGCCCCGCAACATGCTTCAGGTTCAAGGAATGCACCAAGACGTACGAGGCGTTGTTCAAGAAGGCGAGGCAAACAGCCAGCACTCATCGATGCTCATCCCCGTTGGTGGGGGAGCATGTTCATGCGGCTCAGCGGAGGACAAGACGCTGACCCTCATCAATCGTTTGAGATACAATGTCGAGAACCTGGCCAGTTCCGGCTATTGACCGCTTAGACTGCGCATGTTCTCCATCCGCTAGCCCGAGCACGTCTTTGTCAAAACGGGACTCAGGTCATCAAAACAGGCTTGCGAAGCATCTGCCTGGCCTACAGCAGGATCTCTCTGCAGGACGTCGGGAAGTGTTGTAGTGTGACTGACTGAATCTCTCGCGTCGGGTATATGAGTCAGGACATCTGCACAAAGCTTGGGCTTGAGTCCCCACAAGATGCCAGCACCTCATGGCTTCTTGCATGGACATCGAAGCTTTCATGGCCATCCTACCGGAAACCCGAGGCTGCCGGCGTTGTGGCCAAAGCTGTCGTAGACGGGGTGATTGATGCGAGCCCTGCTGCAATTCTGGTTTGTGACAACTTCATGTCAGTTATGATATACCATAATGTATTATAGTATACTTTAATATACCATAGTCTACTGTAGTATAATTCAATATACTATAAAAAATACTATAACCTACGATAACTTAACATAATATACGATCATAACGTGGACCAGCCCTTGAAAGGGGTCGCCGGCCAGGCCACGATCGATTACGACCAGCAGTTTGTGAAGTCCAACCAGAAGATAGACTTGTACCACTCTTGCGAACCTCAGAAGGTCCTGGCCTCAACTGTTTAGGGTTTGGGGCTTTAGGGTTCGGGCGTTAGGGGCTTCGGGCTTGGGGTTTAGGGGTTTAGGCTTTAGGGTTTAGGGGTTTAGGGTTTGGGGTTTAGGGGTTTAGGGTTTAGGGTTTAGGGTTAAGGGTTACTGCTCTCACATCTCGGCCGTCTCGGCCTGTCCGCTCTTGGAGTCTTGCTTCCCTCGTGTCTGGCGAGGCTCTGCACAAGCGCATTGCCTTCTGCCTGCAGATGCACAATGATGCTGTGAAAGCCATGGCGTACCCGGACGAAAACGACAACAAGGCAGCGCGTAATATACTGTAGCGTATTTTAATAGACTGTAATATACTATAACATTGGCCATCGTCTGGTTGTGATCCTTGCTTCATGCAGTGACAGGACGCTGAGGATCCGGAAGAGAAGCGAGAGAGGGAGAAGCGTGAGTTGGCCAACATCGAAGAAGATGGTGGCGATGATGACATGATGATTTAGCTTCTATCTGTGGCTGTCGAGTGTGAGATACTGTATTCAACCCCCTTGTACAGCTAGCTTCTGCTGTGTACTGCTGCGTAGAGCCGCAGATAGCAACAAGAGGTGAAGCAGTCCTTCCAAGCAGACCGGCTGACAACGAGTTGGCGTCATAGAACAGAGCTGCGAAAGCTGGCAGAACTTCAAGAAAATGCAGGGTTCGGTTTTGGGAGTTGCTTGGCACAAGTTGTGCGCCAGAGTCCTGAATATGTTGCTTGCACTTTACGGTATTGTTCACCATGTTCGATCTGCTCGCACGAGGTACTTCACGCTCGACTTCGACAGGCAAATTTTCTACTATGCCCACAGCGAGTCACGAAAATCCCAGGTGACGGCTGCACGCTTTTTTGTTTGTGGTTGGTTTTCTTTAGTCTTAGTGTGACTGTGGATATGGCCTCCTGCATTACCAAACCTTTCTCGCTCTTTCCGCCGTTTTTTCTGTCTTTGTATCTATCCACCTGCTGCCTGTCTGCCTATCTGTCTGTTTATGTCTATATACCTATGTATATATATATATATATACATATACATATGTGCGTATCTCCTCCATCCCCAGCCATCACTCGCTGCTTTGACAGTCAGGTCTCCAAGCCCATTCACTTCAGGGACATCCTGGGGGCTCATGCGGGACACAGCGTGCCTCTCAGAGATTTCTGATAGCCGCCGCAGACTTGGACGTTAGGGTCTCGTAACTTTGCATGAGTACGACCGGCAGAACACACTACCCAAGAGCACAGTTGTTAGAATCTGTATGCGAATAACTATCTTTCGGGGCGCTTCGGATGCATCAGGCTATGAGCCGGATGATCTCGGTTGTCCTGGACAGGCTCAGCGTCACGGTCAGCCGACGCATTCGGTGGCACAAGCTGCGAATGTGCAGGCGAAGGTGACGCGAAGCCTTTCTGGAGTGCTATCAAGGTGCTCCGTGGAAGTCTGCTCAGAGTGGTTTGGTGGCACTGGCTCTGTTCAAAGGCCGCGACCGCCGGCCCCAGGGATCTTCCCATTTACGGTGCGTACCAGAGGGAAGAGGCAAGGCACCGAGACGCCCCCTCCACCATGGTTCTCTCTATCCAAAAAACAAGTCTGGTGCTACGCAGGGGAAGCCTCGATTCTTGATTGCCTCGCGTGAGGGGGGGGAGCAGGCGTAGTAGTAGCTGTGCAGTAGTCGTCGCCATCGTCGTCTCTTCGCCGTCGGCTTTGTCGTAGTCGCAGGCGTAGCCTTTGAGCCTTAGCCGTAGTTTAGGGCTTCGTCTCAGTCGTAGTTTAGTCACAGTCTCAGTCTTTGTCTTAGTCGTACGGTGACGTCACCGTAGTCGCAGTAGTAGCCGAAGTCTTACAAGTAGCAGTTGCAGTAGTTGCAGTCGGCATAGCCGTAGCAGTAGGAGCAAGCAGCAGCAGCAGGAGCAGTAGCAGGACCAGCAGTAGCAGTAGCAGTTGTTGCAATGAGTTGGAGCTGTCGTAGTTGTAGTACTTGCAGTCGTCCTAGGCAGGTAGCACCTGCCCTGCCACAGCACCTGTCACCAGTGAAGGGTCAAAGTTTCAAAGCCGTGAGGCTGCGACTGGAGGCAGAGGTCGAAGCCGAAGTCTTTCAATGGATAGACCCTGGGCGGCAGATTTAGATGCTTGCGAGTATAACTTCTGTATAAGCCCTTGTCTTGTTGCTCTTAGCGGTAAGAAGCCCCTAATCAAGAAAGGTCAGCTAGAAGTAATAATACGATGATCACTGCTCATGGCTGCTCCCATTTTGTTGGCCGATTCTCTTCTTTGTGTTCTGTGCCAAGAGCTGTCGGCGACACCGTGCTGTGCAGAGGCCATGCTGAACGCGGCACATCGCATAGGCCACTTCAACGTTCAGCTCCGGCGGTTACCGCGTGTTGCAGTCAGCCTGTGACAGGGGAGGATGTGGATTTGTTATCTTCATCAACTTGGCTTCCAGGCCCCGGTATAAAATTCAAAGATCGAAGAATTGCATGGCCAAGCCATCATCGCGCAAGCTCTTGGAAGTGCCCTTTCGGCCCTGCTCACAAGATCTGCACAGCAAGTCTGTCCGACAGACGCCCCGACCGCGAGTCCCAGTTCCAGATCGCCGAGGCTGACGATTCAGCAATCCTGCCATGGTCAAGTCGCGAACCGCCTGTGTCACCTGACTGATATGACCGCTGCCCGACGGACGAACCAGCCTTCACCATACAACTGACAGAAGCCAAGCACAAGTAAACAGACTGTCGCAGTGTCAGCCCGCATAGCCCGCGGCATCTAAGCGACCGCAGGTCTGAAGCGGGAAAGGCTCCGTCCGTGACGTCGATAGAGGCCTCTGCTGCTGGCTGCCTTCGCTCGATGCCCTACCCAGAAGCCCCTAAACACCCTAAACCCAAAAGTCCCTAAACCCTAAGCCCTAAACCCTAAATCCTAGTTCTCTGTTTAAATGGGCCAGAGCTGAGCCAGGCCTCCCAAATGTCCACTACCGCAGATGCAGATGAGAACTACTCCGAGCTGGGAATGCCACGACCTTAGGGAGGTCTTAGGATTGAGGGTTTGGGGTTTAGGAATGTTTAGGGTTTAGGGTTTAGGAATGTTTAGGCTTTAGGGTCGGGACTTGCCAGAGAAATCTTGATAGCGATACCATGATCAGAACCATAGCTTTCATACGAGCGAGGATGCTGCTCGATTACGCTATCCGCGAAGAGTCACCAAACATATAGCTATGACTGTAGCAAATCATAGAGTTAAGCAGAATCAGTCACCATCATAGTGCTTCTGGTAATGCTCATAAGCTCGTATAAGGGTGTCAGGAAGAATCAAAAATCTCATGGTAGGGTGTTGAGACTTGTACCGAAACCCTGAATCCTAAACACTATAAAGCCCTAAAGCCCCATACCCTAAATTCTATAAGGATCTCGAAAGCCCTGGCACCGTTGCTTTCCTCAGGCCGTCGCCACACTCCAAAGCATGGTCTGAGACAGGCTGCGAGGCCCAAGGGCTTAGGGCTTTGGTATTAGGGTTTAGGGTTTAGGGTTTAGGGCTTAGGGTTTAGGGTTTAGGGTTTAGGGTCTAGGGCTTCTGGTTTAGGGTTTAGGGCTTAGGGTTGTAGGGTTTAGGCAAGGAGTGTCGTGCAGGGCCAACAGCCATGCCTGAGACCTTGCACAGGAGCTGGATGTCGGCGAGGACGCGGCGCTAGGAATCTTCAGCTGGGTAGTTCTCTAAATTAGGGTCCCTTTTGGAGCCCTTGTTACATCTTATAACAGTGCCGTACCGTTTGTGGCTTGGGGGATCTAAAAAGGGACCCTGATTCGGAGAACTACCCAGCTAGCTGCATCCGTTCATTTAATGGAATCCTTCACAGGCTTGCACCCGAGCTGTGTTCAGGCATGGTTGCACCATGTTCCTGCCGCATCCTGCCACCTCAAGCTGTAGGCAGCTCAACAGTGGTTCGCCTGTTGAGACTTCCCATCATATCATGTACGGTCCCTTCTGTTTTGCAGTCCAGAGAGGAGGCACAGCCTCCACATTAAGATCATCCAACAACTGCTTTCTACTGGGCAGCAAGATACTTCCCACGCTGTGCCCGAGTAGAGTAGCGTGTAAGCGCTGCTACCTTCAGTTCCACAGCCAGCGCGTCAGAGCTGCAAATTTCCGCTACTGCTCGAAGCTCAGATGTGTCACGCGACGTCTCCCTGGATTTAGACCCCAATCTTGTTCGTCACGCCTGCCTGTCGTGACTCGTGACTGTCGGTACATTCGCACCGCTCAGGTGCGTCCGGAACTGCATCCACCGAAGCCGTTGACAAGCAGGATTGCGCAAGCAATACTGCGCTTCGCTCCCTTGCCCATGTACTTTGCACAGTCCGAGGTGCTGTTGCACCCAAGAACAGAAAAGCTAAACTGCAGACCGATCTAGCGGCGTTTGTCGGTGTGATGATACGCATCTAAAGTTTCATACACAGAATACACACTCAACTGACACAGCGATTTTTCTCGTCTGCTTCCAGGATGACCGGGACCGTTCCAGGCCAGAGGGTGCGTATGCGCGAGTCGCAACAACCCGAAACATTAGGCCCTTGCAGGTTTTCGGGTCTAGGGTAGGCGGTTTCGGGTTCACGGTTTGTTTGAAGAACTGCCATTCACCAACGGCTTCTTCCGGATCCGTAAAGGCAGCAAAGCACGAAGCAAGCCTTAACCGTGTAAACCCTGAACCCTAAACCCTAAACTAACCTTAAACCCTAACCCTAAATCCTGAATTCTACTTCTCATTAAGCCTCAGCCTTAGCCCGAATCCGAAACACCGGAAGTCCTTGAATCCGTGCACTTCTCAATCCCAAGTTCTAGGACCTGGTACCGGAACCAAATCTGTAAATACACGAAAGTCTCAACTCCATTTCCAATCTATTCTGCACCTTGGAAATTTCAAGCTCTCTTAAGGCCTTGTTCCTGAAAGCTTGCCAAACTGACGAAGTATCTCAACAAGAACCACGTTTTTGACGTCCCAAAATCAAGCCTCCACAGTCCCCGAGCCCTAAACCCTAAGCCTAAACCTAAGCCCTAAATCCCAAACCGTCAGCTCTAAACCCGAAAAACTAAACCCTAAATCCGAAGCTCAAAACCCCTAAACTTTAAACCTTAGATCCTAAATCCTAAACCTGAAGCCCTAAACCCT